GGGTCCTTCTGACGCGAACTAACTCTGTCAAGTATGTCGCCGGTACAGCTACAACACATATTAGGGAAGAGCAAACACCACCAACACCATAGACGTGTGTGGGCCCGGCCAAATTTGGTGTTTTGAGCTTTTTGGCAAACTTTAGCCAGATCCTATTGTTAAGGTTTTTGACAGTAGGGTATTTTCCACATTAGACGGACGTCACGGCGCAGTCCTGACGGTAGGCAGGTAAAACCATACCGTCAGAGACAATGGCGATAGAAAAAAAATCAAATCGTGAAAAACTTTCAAACTAAAGTCAGATCTGAAGTTTGCCAAAAGGGTTAAAACACCAAATTTGGCCACGCTTGGCCCGAACGGCCATCGTGCCTGAAGCCACCGGTGCGCCGGACAGAGATCAGGTGACATGCACGTTTGCATGTCACCGTGTGCCTTGCGGCCTCCATTTAAATTTAAACATTGTAAAAAAATCTGAAAAAAATCACGCATGTTCGCAGCACATATTAAGATAACCCCTAAAAAATAGTGTGTGTTCGCAGCACATATCTCTGTCCCGGTGCGCCGCTCACGGGCAACACTACTGCACACGTGACCTATCAAAAAAAAACACTACTGCACGCGTGCACCAGATCGAATCCCATCGGGCGAGCTGCGACGCGGCCTTCCGCTCCATCTTACCGGCAAACGGTGCATCCCGCCGACTTCCAGCAAGGGATTCGGTCTTGCCGGCGAGTGGTGCGTTCCCCTGACCACGCGTTGCAACGAGAACTGCCTTCCAGATTGCAATGACGCCCATGTCCGGTGGTCCTCGCCCAGCTGTGGCCGCTGCTACTTCTTGTGTACGGGCATGGCCAATGCTCCAGCTTGGACCAGTGCCCCGCGGGTACACGTCGGACTAGCAGACGATGTGGAGGAGAATGGTAAAAAGACAGCTGCTTGCAGAGCGAGACGAGCTCTTGCAGAAGAGTCTGCTTCCTCGCTGTAATAAAGTGTTAAAAAGGCAGAAAGGGGGGACGAAAGGATGAAAGAGAAGGACAAGACTGTGTACAGGTGAGAAAAGCAAGGGCCGTGGGCAAGATGCGGGTCCGAGAGGAGATGTTGCTTCCGTTGGATAGGTAGCTGCATATAAGGTGGTCTCGCAGAATAAAATCATACGTGGAGGTTGAAACCACACCATACCAGCGCCACCATAGTTCATGCCCTACTGCTGCTGCCTGTTGTCGCTACTGCAAGTCTGCAACAGCCGCTGCAAGCAGTACGTACATCCATCTTTGCTCAAAGATTGATGTCATGCCGCCCTGGATTTCCCGTCACTGTTGCTCACTGCTTGCCGCCGCCACGGACCACCAGGACCCCGCCGCCACCGTCGGCCGCATGGGCTTTGCCCCGCGGCGTCGTCCGTCAGCGGCCAATATGTGGATGTGGAGACCAGTAGATCCTTCTTTTCTTTGCTTATGCAAAATGTATCAATTCAGTAAGGTGCAAACTTTTTGCTTTTAAGATGTTTTTTTTTTGGTTGGTTTTCCTCTTTCTCAATCGTTGCAAACTCAGTAATATCTTCATACTAATTCACTGGTTACATGATTGGGTCCTCACTAAGTTCTCACCGGCCCCATCTTTTCTCACTTATGTACATTCTGTTCATAACTCAAATCCTTTTTCCGACCATTTTGTCACTGGTTAAATTATGCGGCTTAAACTATTATTGTGACCCCTGCTGCTTCCAGATTTTGACTTCTTTTTTGGTTAAATGAAATAGTTTTTTAATCAAGCCGTATCGTTTATTTTCTGAGTTATTTCAGGTCATCCTTCTTCTGATAATTTTTTTTGAGTTACTTGTTGTGTAATGGTGCAGGAGCTTTTCTCTGAGCTGGGTGATCTGAAGTATGCCTACAGTAAGGATACAATTTTCCCCTTTACACGTGTTCAATATTTGGACAGTCTGACATTGCCTCTTCTTGCAGGGAACGAATAGCAGTGTTGAGGCAAAACAGCAGTGTGCAACTTGATGGAAAACATACGAAAATAACCAACACCCCTATAACTCGAGCTGCACTTTAGTTAGTAATGGAGGTTATGATAGGGATGCTGAGGTATGTTCTACTAGCTGCATCAGTTACTTTATAAATTGAGTGCACATCAAATTGAATATAGATGAATTTGTATATATGTTTGCTAGAATTGTGCAAAGTTGTTTGGCCTAATCAGTGGTTAAGTGTTAGGGATGGTGATGCAACAATGACTCAGTATAACTGATAATTATATATCACTGAATGTCGCTAACACATGTTATATTGCATCGTGCTCAAGAAAGTTTAGGATTCATGGGTGATATAAACGCACGGCTCAAGTGATTTAGCAATTTCTTCATATTCTTGATTTAGAGGGAGTGGGAGAGAGGATGCACCCCTGGAAAAGTCTGGAAAAGAGCAAGTTCAAGAGGTGGATGCAGCAGCTCTGTTTTATCCTCCACAAACTTGCCTCCTTTGCCACCAGTCTGCTTATGCTAATTTACATGTTTATACTCCTCTCTAAGTTACACATGTACTTTAATATCTAGCAGCCACTTGGCTAATTTCCATGTTTTCGACTTTTTGACTAAGCAATCTTTCAGTATTATGCAGCACTACTGTTATGAATAGTGCATTTTCTTTTATAGTTAGTTTCAGGTTGTCCTTTTTTTAGAAAAAAATGGGTTGTCCTTATTTGCATGTCTAAAGAAATATTAATGTTACCTGTGGCCAGCAGGAATTATCTAAATTTATCACGACTGCTATACAATCACTAGCGCAGACCATAACTAGCATTTACAGAGTTTGAACAAGAGGCGGGCAATATCATCACTCCTGCTTCCTTTTAGCTGGCGTTGCTTTCTAACTTAAAAGAAATAAAACATGCTACACATATCGAAACATCTTATAGCAAATATAATGCTTCTACAAACCTTTTTTTTCTTTTGCACAACGACGCTAATACAGTACATGATATTGTCACCCTTGTCCATTTTGCAACCTATATATAAAGTTTGAACAAATATGCCCACAAAGTTTTTTTCTCAAAGTTTTGTCATGTTCAGATATTCTCAGATATTTAAATTATTCTTTCGTTAAAATGGACGAGGGCAGCAACGCGTGACTTCATGTTCTGCTACCACTGTATTATTGACTGTTCTCCTCATAGCTCTGTGATCCATTTTATTACCATACACTCAGGGGCGGAGCCAGTGTACAGCTGTTGGGTTCAGCTGAACCCAACGAATTTTTCTTGCCACGTATCTGTGTGTACATAATCCTTTGGTATGAACCCAGTAAAATGTGAGGCCTGAACCCATCGAATGTCATGCACAAGCACGAAGCCTTTCAGTCTGTATAAAATATTCTAGTGTAATTAGCCCAAACAAAGGCCCACAAGTAAATTGACCGGATTGGATTGATTTTTGATCGATGGATTCCATGTCTCGTACGCGCATAACGCACGCCGCACACAGCGATTTGACTCGATCGCTTGATTTGCTTCCTAACTTCGCGACTCCCCACAACTGTCTCGTCTCCCTAATCCTCGAAAAAAAATGTCTCGTCTCCCCCGTTCAGTCGTTCACCCAGGGCTCGGCCGCCGGACACAAGCCGTTAATGGCAGATCCCAGTCCGAATTCAAGGTATTGAGATCACATCACCACATCTACTCCGTATCCCTCTTGTGCATGTTCAATCTAGTCTGCCTAGAAGTAGAGTTTCTAATCATCTTTGCCCTAGATTTCTCACTGGCTTTTCGTGAACTTTGATTGATCTAGGTTATCAAATAACTTTCTAAAAAGAAATCAATCATCAGGCCACGAGGTTCAGATAATGGTGCTGCCACTTCCAGGTTCAAAAATAATGCTAGATGTTGACAAAAGATTAAATATCGTTGTTGCAAGTAGTATCCCTAAGCCATATATTAGAGAGAAAACAATTTAGGTGGTCTGCCTTATGATTGAATTGATCGGAAGAGAATATCAAACTACATAAGAAATCCTATAAGAAGCAAGATTAGATTAGACAAAGATATTTAACCAGCGAACCTTACACCAGGGCCTAATTTTGATTATCCACCTACTAGGGTCATTGTCTAATTTTCAGTGTGGAGAAATATATGTTTACTATCACTTAGAATGATGATGTGTTCGATGTTTTTTTTGCTTGATGGTACTTATTTTAAACTTGTCAAACTAACGTGTATCTTTATTTAATGTTTTCAGAAAGATGCATGAAAAATGCAATTAATTTCATCCACCTGGTACGTATTGCTCTCTTTGGTTTTTAAAATATAACGATTACATTCGAATGGTGATATGATTGTAACAGTTATATTCTTTATGTTGCCTCTGAGTGCTATAGTCTTTGTAAGACGGTGTGAAATTGGACTACGTACTAATGAACAGATATCAAATCCCTGTAGTTGGCTATGCGCATCCCCCCCACCCCCCTACAAATTTTTTGTTCTCACGGCAAGCCAATGAATGAACCCATCGGCTAAATTTTCTAGCTCCGCCCCTGCATACACTTCTACAATGGACGATTTAAAAAACCCTTCCCGAATAATCTCTTGAGCCGTTCGCGATGAACGTATTTGTGGTAGTGCACTGGTCATCACCTCAGATGAATCCACAAGGACCACAACTAATATGACACGAGCCATAGGAATCTTCGCATCTACGTGGAGGGATCGACTTGGAATATTATTAGAATTAGTACATTAGCTCTGCGATCCCAATTGCTTGCACTTCTTGTTTGGCTCCGCAGAGCAACGTGGCACCAATCACAAGAGGAGAGACCAGAGAATACCATATATAGAGGCAGAGTTGTCCACTCCGCGCGCACACCCAGAAACCTATTTCCTCTCCACCATTGCACAAGCAACCAACATCGGCATTTGGCGACCTCCATTGTCCCGTGGAGCTGGACAGGTCAAGGCTGTAGCTAAAAGGGTTTCCTGGTTTGGTACATCCAACAAGCGCAAGCATGGAGGAGAGACCAATGGCCTCTTCCACTTCCTGCGAAGGCTCTGACCACGACGACAAGAACAAGAAGCACCACTGCGAGCTGATCGGCTACGAGGCGCTGCCGGAGTGGCTCAAGGACAACGAGTACATCCACGGCTACTACCGGTGCGAGTGGCCGATGAAGGAGACCATCCTCAGCATCTTCTCCATCCACAACGAGACCCTCAACGTCTGGTCGTAAGTCCCTTAACCGATTGCAATATGCTCATCAATGGCGAGGCGATTCCCCTGAATCATCTCGACTCTGTTGCTCCACACGCGCAGGCATTTGGTAGGATTCCTGCTGTTCCTGTGCTTGACGATCCTCACGGCAATGGTGATCCCACGGGACGGCTGCAGCGGCGACGGGAACACATTTGACGACGCGCCATCGACGAGGAGCTACTGGGGAGATCTGATGGCGATGGCCAACATGACAGGGGCGCTGAAGCACGAGGCAGCCGCCTGCCTCCTGCTGCCTCCAGCTGCCGCAGATTTGCCTGGAAATGAGGAGGAGATCCCGAACAGCTGTCCACCCAACACATCCTCCTCGCTCTCTCACCACCATGTTGCCTTGATCCAGGTACCACTATACTAATCATCACTGATTGCACTACTAACTCTGCTTGTTTATTCAATTGATGGTTAAGTGCCATTGTCATGTGTTCATGTGCTCTGGTTAACTGGACCTGTCATATTGAAGGTAGGTTGGTAGGTAGAAATTCTAGTACTACTACTATTGGTTTTGGAGCTGGTTGGCCAGTTTTAATTTAATGGGGCGGTGGTGTGGCAGGGCACCAGCATTGCATTTATGCTTGGGAGTCCTTTCCCCTTGCTTTCCTGTGCTGTGCTAGCTAGGGTTCCTGAGCTTGATGCATGCAGGACATGTTTGTTGGTTTACTTTTTCTTCAGAGTGCTAGGAGTAGTAGGAGGATACAGGAGGTACCCTTGATAGGTTGATTGCTTTTGGTGCATGGTCTATTCATGTTGTGCCAACCACAATGTTTCCCAAAGCCAAAGGCACCTTTTATTATTAAGGTTCTTGCCAACAGCTTGACTAGTGCCAGTGTGTCTCAACTGCTGGGTTTTGTCAATGTGTCTCACAATCTTTTTTATTTTTTTATCAAAAAATTGATATAGATTGAAAAAGTCCGGAATCTTATACTATATAGATATACAGATCTCCCTCTTATTCAGGACAGTGTAAGCGCTTTTTAGGATCTGCGCTGGTCAAACTTTTACAAGTTTACTCATGAACAAGGAAATGGAGTATATATATATTAGCGAAAATCATAACATTGATTTTACTATAATCATCTGTACAATATTCTTGTACAAAGTATATTTATTTTCATGCAAGGGAACATATTTTCATAAAACTGATGGTCAAAATGAAACCTTTAACCCCGCAAAGAAAATCCTTTAAGATTCTGTCACCTTCGTGGGTGGAGGTAATGCAACCGCTCTACTTTTCCATGAATGTGATGGACAACCACTTATTTGGTTGTGCAACCCTTGATTAGCTCATTTTGGTCAACCAATCGAATCGCGTTAGCTGTATGCTGCAGTTCCACATGCATTGACATATAGCAAGAATTGAATATATAATTTTGCTGGAAAAGATTGACCTTTGCTTTGAGAATCGTGCATTTTCTCTTCGTGCATGTGCGCTGCCGTGCAGCTGTGCTAAGAGCCTATGGGCACTCGTAAGAGAGCTTTCGTGCATAGTAAAATCTTTCATAGACGTTGATAATTTGTAATTTTAGACACCATATTTTACAACCGTTAAGATTACACCTACTTCCAATTTGGTTGTAGTTCTTTTGGGGTTCTTTTATGTTGGAATATATTGCCCTTTTCTCTTCATTAGTTTGAGTTTTTGGATGAATTTGCTGAAACATAATTTAATATGGTATCAAAGCCAAGAGATTTCTGAAATCTATTATATTTTTACTTTCTACATCGTTCTCACATCTAAAGATTAAAGGAGTCTAAATCTGTAGGTGAAGTGGAGTGTTGACATATATTGCCTGCCACTCTCTATCGATTCTGATTTTTGGATAAACGGTCTGGTGCTTGAATTCAATATTGTACACATTTTTTTAGAATCAATATTCGACACAATATAAATTACTATGAAGTTAAATTTTCAAGACCATGTGGATGTGTAAGACAATGGCATGTAGGACAGAAGTTCCATATCTCCTGGATCCATGTAGGGATCCA